CTTTATCTCTCTCGTTCCAAATCCATGGACCGATACTAGAATACAATGATTTATACTCACCAGTCATAGGTATGTAAATATATTTCTCAAATATTATCAGTTCAATCAAAACCGAAGCCACATAACCATTTATGCTTCTTTTTTTTTTGTTCAATCGTATGGAAACCGAACACAGGAGGTATACCCTCCTGTGTAACTTATTTGATGTTGCTGGTTCTGAATTGGTATTTTTTTCATTCATGATTCATAGAAAATTTGGTGATTTAGGGAGTGTCCTTAAAGTGTTTGATGAAATGCCAAAGAGAAATATGACAGTCTCAGATTGTATTCATGGTTAGTAATGGAACACCGGTTAATGAGGAGATGCTGGTAAGTTTATATGAACTTTATTGATATTTGATTAAGTTTTTTGAGCTGGGTTTTTGTAATTTTTTATTTTTTTCAGAAATTTAGAGACACCATTCTTTGATGGCAAAGAACTTGTAGCTTGAAGTATAGATGATTCAATCTATGTTTATGATGTTGAAGCAAATATCTATCCTGATCATAGATTTGATGTTGAAGTAAACTGACTTTTCCTTATGTTTATGATGTTGAAGCAAACAGACATATGGGCTGATCATAGCTTTGACTTTGTTTACCATTTTATAATATTTCCATTCTGAAAGAATAGTTTATTATAGAAGAATATTATTGCTTTATTCTGATAGAATTTGCAGTTAATTAATTATATGTTTAATGTGCAGTTGTTAGAAGTGTATCACTACAAAGTATTTGGTAATGAATTTGTGATCGAAATGGCTTGGAAGAATGGCTTGAAGACCTGATGGGAAAGACTCCTTGTATAAAATCATTCTCATGCAATCCAATTCTGACAGAATGTCAATGTCACAAAATATCAATCTCATAGAATGCTAGCATATTTTGAATTGACTTAAAGGTCAAACATACACAAGACATCTAGAATGTTGTTATTTTTTAAGAATTATACTTGTTATTCTTTCAGAATGTTTGTTATAATTCAATGAATCACAATCGTACAATGTAATTATTTGGTATATTATTAGTTCAAGAATCGATTTTGTGTATTCTTTCAGAATATATTTAGTAGTTTATGGTTGACATTCTGTCATTCTGACAGAATAAAATAGAAAAATATGTTTACTACTTTATGGTTAAAATTCTATCATTCTGACAGAATAAAAATCGGATTTTTAATTTTAAATTAATTTAAAATATTTAGATTTTTAAAAATAAAGGAATTAATTATCCCCAAAAATACGAAAATTTCCTTTTTTAATATAGGTTAATTGACAAGAATGCCCTTATGTTCAAATTTGTGTGATTATATGGTACATGTTATCCTATTCTACTATCATAGACCCTCAGATCATGACCTTTGATTATATTCCATCCAATGGTCCAGATCTGTGCATTCTGGCACACAATAGTTAGTAAAAACAAAATAACCTAACCATATATATATATATATATATATATATATATATATATATATATATATATATATATAATATATATATATATATATAATTACCTAATTTGTATAAGCGCAACTCCAAATTATAATCTTTCAAAATAATAATAGTATTAAAAATTATTTTTAATATAAGATTGATGCAAATTTACCGTTTTTTACTTGGGGTATTGCTAAATTGACACCCTTTAAACATCTTATAAATACTTTTATTAAAAGTCAAACTATAATAAACTATTTACATTTTACTTTGAAATTTTTCAAAAAGCTATGCAAACAAATAGAAAATTGGTATATCTTTTTAACCAACCACTTTTTTCCTTTGACCCACCTTGTGAAAGGACATTCTCGTAATTGACAAGGTAGCGTAGTATATAAACACCTCTCTACTTCCTTCAAAAACACGCGCCGCAGACCGTAGAGGAGCGTGAGAAAAATTCCACGTGCCGGAGAGTTGAAGCCACCACCGTCTGACACTTTTGGTCTATATATACTCCACCACTTCTCTCCCACCATCACAGCCTTCATCGATCTAAATTTCACAAACACAAGAAGAAAAATGGGATCTGAACTGATTTACAGAGGCCACGAACCCCAACCCACTTCAGATCTATACTCTCCAAAGCCTAACAAACCATGGTCCGCCGTGATTCCGCCGATTCGTTACATGCTTCGTGAACAACGTCTCGTCTTCGTGCTCATCGGCATTGCCATATCTACCTTCTTCTTCGCCCTTATCCCGTCATCCACCACCTTCTCTTCCCCCACCATCTCCGCCTACACCTCCTACGCAGTTTCCGGATCCGCTCAGTTAATGAACCCTGTTCGACCAACTTATCGGTTTAATTCAGGTGGGAAGATCCCTTTGGGTTTGAAACGGAAGGGGTTAAGGATTGTGGTGACTGGCGGTGCAGGATTCGTCGGAAGTCATCTCGTTGACCGATTGATTGAACGAGGAGATAGTGTAATAGTCGTTGATAATTTCTTCACTGGAAATAAAGAGAACGTCATGCATCATTTTGGAAACCCTAGGTTTGAGCTCATCCGACACGACGTTGTAGAGCCGTTACTACTAGAAGTCGACCAGATCTATCACCTTGCTTGCCCTGCTTCCCCTGTTCATTACAAATACAATCCCGTGAAAACGATCATATCCTTCCTTAACTAGTTTTAATCGGTCTATTTTTATTGTTGATTTCGAGCATATAAATCCAGATTATGTATTTGTGAATCCTTGATTTTGATTTTGGTTCTCACAAGACGAATGTAGTGGGAACATTGAATATGCTTGGACTGGCGAAGAGAGTCGGTGCACGGTTCTTGCTAACGAGCACCAGTGAGGTGTACGGCGATCCTCTGCAACATCCTCAAGTGGAAACCTACTGGGGCAACGTCAATCCAATCGGTGAGTCTTTCTCTGTTTTTCCGGAGTAATTCGTGGATTACTTACGGGGCTCTTCATCAATGTTGGTTGAAATTGTTGCGTGTGTGTTTAATTTGGTGAATTTTTATGGAGATTGAAGGAGGAAATCTGGACGAAAGTGGATTATATATATTAGGCGAAAATGGACTAAGATCTAACCATGTGTGTAACAATCATTAACAGGTGTCAGAAGCTGCTATGATGAGGGAAAGCGTACTGCCGAAACACTGACCATGG